TGCACCTGATCTTGCTCAAAACTGTCTCAGCCACTGCCCTGTTCTCCGCAGCAGAGATAGGATGCAACGCGCATATTGGAACTGGCTCACGGGCAGTATAGTTCATTCATTCATTTATTATTTATTTATTTACTAAATTTCAGGAGAGATGAGTGCTGCAGTGGGTCTAGACACTAGGGAAAAAAGTGTATATAATAAAGCGTATTTTTTATTTTTCTTTAAAAACGTGAATAAACTCAGAAGTGCATACTTTTTGAGGCTTCCAAACAGTCTTCTTAGCCGACTTCCATGTTGACCTGTCGTAAAGACGAGGCGCGATCAGGCGCTTTCTGAATATTTATAGACGTGACTTTCATAAATACGCTGGTTTTGAGTGCGTACACTCGAATCTGTGCGGATCTCACACATTCATAAATGCCACATCGGATCTTGCGTATCTGGAATATACACCCAAAATATACACCCTTTTCTACGCAACTTTCATACATGAGGGCCATTGTGTTCTTCTGTTCATTGGCATCTAGTGAGAAAAGCCATGCAAACTATACATGTCAGACCAGTGTTTGTGCAAGTTTTTTCTAGTGGAATTTGTCTCCACAGGGCCTCACTATCTTACATAATTTTTTTTATAAAATTGCCATCTGTTCTTAAATGTTCTCAATCGGATTTAGATCAGGGGTCCATTCAGATTCTATTCTGCTGGAATAAATCCTTTGTCAGGGGCTTTGAGAAATGCAGTGTTGTCCTGCTGAAAAATGTAGTCATTACCAACGATAAGGGCCCTCACCAGAGGGATGCTGCCTGCAACATGGCCACAAAGCAGGCACTGTTTGACGCCACTGCTAAAACACACTTACCCATACTTTTTTTTTTTTTTTCTGTGTTAACAGTAACAGTAGACCGAAGATATCAGTAGTTCACAGAGGTCCACTTACTGTAATTGTAAGATTTGTCATTCAAGCAGATTCAATAAAGTTAAAGTCCTCACTTATCTATGTGTAAATATCTCTATAATATTTGTGTGGTTCCTTGTATAGACATGAGTGAAAAGAGACCAGTAGATGTTGCTCCTTATCTTTCTGTGACTCACTTCTTTCTCTTATTACTCACAGTAATTAGAAGACATGACATACGTTTTAAAACAAATTTTTCAATGTTACAATGTGTGACAGGTGCGTCTTTTAATCCAGTGCGTCTTGTAAAAGTGCAAAATTCAATTTCTTTCTAAAATTTGGAGCTTGTGGCTTATAGTACGGAAAAATAAAGTAGTTTTTGTCCAAAATGCCACTTACCCTCTGGGTTCAAGCCGTCGACATGTACTTGTGGAGGAAAGGGCGTCTGCTACTGTCTATTCCATGTTAATATTATTTTTAATACGTCTTTTCATTTCAGTTTAAAAAGGCGTAGACAAACGGATCTCTGTGTGAGACAACTGGGCTGTGTGTGAGTGCTGTGAGAACACTGTGGGATGCAGGAGGCTGATTGATGTCGCTGCTGGTTTCCTTGTCTTCATGTGTGACGTCTGTGAGCTGTTGACAGATTTTTACTTCATTTAAAAAAAAAAAAAACTTTTAAAGAAGCAGGGATACTTTTTGCAGAAATATTAATTTATTTTCTTCCCTTTCGTTTGTCAGTTTCTGGGTCGGGGCAACAATCGGAGCTGGGACCTAATCTTCATTGCACCATCTATCGCTGATCCTCCTGCATTCTAATACAGGCATTTGTTTTCTTACCATTCTGACACTTAAAAAGGGAATTTGTCCCGATGGTAAGTCAATTTCCACCCAGTCTAAAGTCTATAGACTCCAGCTTTTATTCCAAGATAATCCTGTCTTATGCTTCAACCACTTAAAACTCTGGCACTCTTCCCTGTGGAGGAAAAGCAGCCCCACAGCATCGTGCTGGCAGCACCATATTTGACAGTGGGGATGGTGATGAGCAGTGTTCGTTTCTCACCACAAACAGTGGCCAAATTTTGCCCAAATGCTCTATTTGTGTCCCACTGCATCTTCTGCCACTTTATCATATTCATACTAACAGAACAATGAAAATGGATAAAACGGCAAAAATAGAAACCTTTGGAAACCTTCCACACACCTGCACTGCCGCCGCACGCCAACTCACAGAGGTCTGTGGAGAATTGGTTTTATTTTGTTTGACCTATGCCCAATTTCTAATAGAGTGGACACAAGCCCATTCGCTGGCAAAGGCTGTGCTTGCTGATTCAGAGTTTCGGTTTCTCTCTCCTGTCAGTCACCTCCTGGAGGCTTCTAGATCTCAACCTATACGTGTGAAAGCGTGCTACGGAACAAAGAGAATCATGTGGTTTTTGAAAGAGAAAGATCACTCTCTAACTAACGCAATCAATGAAAAAACTACTCTGGACATGTGTATTTAGGCCCAAATAGTACTGTTGTGAGGTTTAAACCAGAGAAAAGTCAAAAAGCATAACTTGGCATTAACCTAAAAGACACAGCTTTTGACGTACACTTATTATGTTAATGGGGAATTGAATAGCTCATATAACTTGTACATTTCTCCTGTGTGAGATCAATAAAATATCTTATCTTATCTTATCTTAACTACAATCACACTTGAGAGCAGTTCAACTATCTTAGAATTATCGACCGTGTTCAAGCCTGCCGTTGGAGCCATGTTTTCGATTGATATAGCTATGAATCTGAAATAAAATAGTATTGCATTAGTGCGAGCAAAGTCTCGAGAGGATTTAACAGCTCAGACACAGAGTCCTGGACTGAGGAAGAACCTGAGATAGGGGGAAGGAGAAACATAATCTTCTGCCTGTTAAACTGTGTTTACGCGCACTGACTTATTCCCAAACCCATACTATGAGAAGGACATGAGCCAACAGAGGTGTTTGTCTACAACCTGCTAGTTTCAATATTTTTTTTAATTTCCATAAATCTAAGAGAAGAGAGACAGAGTTCCTCATGGATTGTGAGGAAGGCTCTTTGTTAAAGAAGCTACATTTGAATAAACAATTAAAATTACATTTAGGATCAGCTTCACTTGTTTGTCCGATCTGTATTTTTTGTATATTTTTTTATTTTGTAATACCAATGTATATTTCAAATTGTTTTATTCTACAAGCTGCAGTATGTATGGCCTGTACCTGATTATTGTATACTGACATTATGTATATATTTTCTGAATGTGTTATTATTGTAAGAGGTGGAGTGGGATCTGAAGGAGCAAACCTGTCCTGTGTGTGTTAAATGTGTAAATTGTAATTGTTTGTATTGTGCTTTATTATATGTATTGGGTTTGTTTTATGTACATGGGACCCTAACAAAATAAGATGCTGCAACTCAAGGGGTTCTCCCTCAATGAAATCAAGATCTATTGAAAATGAAATGAAAAAGACAATTGCAAATATCACCAGACTTTACAAAAAAAAACAAAGTGATTAGTGAATTAATTAGTTTGATCGCAGAAAAACAATTGTTAACAACGGACAGGAAATACATTGGCCAACAAAGAGGAAGTGTCTGTGATTGGAGACTGATTGCAGCTGGTACACGATGGTGAGTATGGTCTCTGCTCCTCTCACGCTTCGCTTCAGCCATGGATAGAGCTGCTTTTATTGAATCAGAATCAATTTATTTGCCATTTGCAGAAAACAAACTACATTGGAATACAAACAGGAGACACCGGGGGCACCAACACAACAAAGCACACACACAAACAGAATAAAAATAGCGAGGCACAAATCTTGTATTGTCTTACATTGTTTGCATGCTAAAGATTGTGTGTTGATAAGAATAATATTGTTACCCCAGTATGAGGACAAATAGGTTTGGTTGAGCAGAATTTATGACAATTTCAGTACATTTTACAGCAGCAATTTGTTTTCTTTTTTCATCCTCTTTTTAATGATTTTTTAAATCTAAATTATGAATCCTGTTAATTGTTTGCTTGAATTAGACAATTTTGGGCAGTTTTGGATCATTCTTCTAACTTTTGTTGCCAGAATCTATGGGGTTAAGGTTAGACACACAACAAATAAAAAAAAGATAACTACTTATTATTGTACCTGCTTTCTTTCATCTAAAAATGTGTGGTGCTTCTCTTTGTTGTTGCTAGTTAAAAGTTGGAGCCAAAACCAGCTAAATTCCAATGTATTCAATTTATTTTATTTAGTAATACCTCCATTTTAAACTGTGGTTCCGAAAAAGGTCATATGGTTTGTACACGTTAACCAATTCTGTGTAATCTACGATACAATTATTGCATACTGTCCCTTTTTAAAAATCATTTCAAATATTTTATTTGTCTTACTTGAAGAGCCCTAGGAGTCTGTATTTGACTGTTTCCAGCTCAGTATAACATTTGTTATGTATTTGCCTTTTTTCACGGTCCACCATTTCATTAAGTTTCTGAGGACATCACTTTTGGTCCCAGTATTACACCCCTGACGAATCAGATTTTTTTATCAAACTCAACTTTATGAAATCTCAAAATCAGTGCATAATCCCAAATTGTCTTGTGGATATGTTTGAGGTGTATTATTTTACCTTTCAAATCAGAGCAAATGGGGGGAAAATATGTTGCAAACTCTCACAAATCTCTCATAATGCACAGAATGGCGCTAGAGACGACTGGACCAAACTAACACTTGTTAAATAGTGTTAAGACACATTTTGGAGACCCAGTGAGTTCTTCTAGTACGGATATCATTGGATGCATTTTTTTATTACATGTTTTCTATATTTTAGCACACCCTGAGTAGTTCTATCTATGCCAAATGTGACTTATCTTAGATTAGATGTTTTACGGACAAAATTAGGTTTTCCAGTTATGGTTAACATAGTTTTATGTAATTTAGTTTAAACTGAATACATCCTTCAGAAGGTTAGCCTCAGTGACTAATAAATAGTTGACTCGGAGATGATTTGCAATTGAATATGAGATAATCCCAATATGTTTTATTGATTCAGTTAAAATTGAAGATATCAAAGCATCTGGAGAGGGGCGACAGCATGGGGCTGGCGTCACTGCTCCGCAAGGAAGGCCTTGGCCACGGGACTCTCATCCAACTGCACCAGCTGGTCACCACGGTAACGTTCACACCATGTCACCAACTCGATACACACAGGAAATGTATAATGTGCTTCCCCTATTTATAGAACAACCATTATGCTTTTTGGCAATACTTGTATATGAGTAGTTTACATTTGGTTCAATCAATGCAGCACTCAACGCTGAGTGACTTCCTGTTAAACTGCAGAACTGGCATTTCCCTGCCTCATTTCAATCTATTATAGTCCTGCTAAACGAGAAAACAGAATTATACATAATTACATCTTTTGATTGGTGAACAGCACAAAAAAGCAGCTATTGTGTGCAAAAAGTAGAAAAATCCACAGTGTGTTAAGAAACCAGGTCTAAACCCCCTCAACATTTCCCAGAGCCAAGGTTTGTACCAAGTTCTAAATCTTATGGGCTTCATTGGGTATTTCCATTTCCGCAATCAGTGCTATGTCAGCCCCACTGGTGCCATCATATCATTCAAAGTAAACCGAAGCATCATATCTTAACAGTGTTATATGGTATAGCCGTTGCTCTGAGAATATCAACATTACTTGGATTCTTGATATATAAATGTTTCTCAACTTTGATGGTTTGTTTCAGGAGCTGTCCATAGAGCAGTACCCTCATATACAGCTGGTGGTGAAAGCTTTGGAAAAACTCTCTGAGAATGAGAAGAGTTTACAAGCCCTGCTCCTCTCAGGACTCACCTCCAAAGTAACTATTGAAGATGTACTTGGGTAGTGTGTGAGAAGCCTTGTCTATCTCACATGTGGAAGGCAGGTAATCAGATAAAAACAAAGTTGTGCTGACTCATGATATTTGCAAATCTCTTACTTTCACTTACTTGCTTACTTACGTGCTTGCGCTTCACAACAAAAGCATTCTGGGGTAAATTCCTTGCTCTTTCTGTGTGGGGTTTGCATTTTCTCCTCGTAAACATTCTTTGCGCTAAGAGTTGCTCCTAGTGGCCAAACTCTAAGACATTTCTTAGAATCTTGACCTTCTCTTAGAATTTCCACTAAAAGTGAAGAGTAGATCCTAGTTAAGAAAAAAGCTATTGCTAAAGAATCCATGCTCTTAAGAGTAGAGAGGAGGACTTTTAGCAACTGAGGCCCCGTCCACACGTCGCCGGGTTTCTGCTAAACCGCAGATATTTGTCTTTGTTTGCACCTGTCATCCACATGACAACGCATCATAAACAAATATATAAAAAACTTCCGGGCAAAGTGGAGATTTTTGAAAACTGTTTATGCATTTGCGTGTAGAGAAAACCAGAGTTTTGCGTTTTCGCACGTCATTATATGCTCTAAAACAACAACAAACAAAACGTGTATCCTGATCACAGAAGCATGGATCTTACTGCCTTAAAAACTGTTAACGCAGGACGTCAGAGGACGCACATGTTTGGAATGTTATGAACGTGATTGAAAACGCATATGTTCGGTTATGTGTGGATGCAAATTATTTTATAAACGGAGGGGGGGAATATTCGGTTTTAAAAATACCTGGCTTGACAAAAATCCAGCTTGAAAAGGAGCGGGATGAAGACTTTTAAACACCCACCCTTATTATTCTAAACATAAATGATGCTACAGCTTAGTCCGTGGTATATTTACTGTTATGCAACAGTGACATTCACAATAATATGCAATTGATTTGTACAGTGTATGTTTAATGTGTTTATACTATTGTTTCATGTATACCTTATACGTCTTTCAGTATCAGAGCCTTCACTAATCATCTAAAATTAAACATGAATAATGTATAGATATATCCATATAATATTTATAATTGTACAATATGCATTATATAGACAGTCTATAATAATTAAATAGTATTATAGACTATCTTATATACATTCATTATTTAATATAATACATGTTATACAAGAGTTAAATGGGTGCTGATGGTCCTTTGCTGTGCATCAAAAGAGACGATGATGGTTTAAAAGTACAACTTACAATTCACAGCCATCATTTTACATTGACATATCTATTTATGTATCAATCTTTTTATGTGGAAATATTATTTACAATGCCAGTATTAAGATTTGATTCCATGATTAAGTCTGTCCTTTTAAGGGCCCTTATTTTGCCCATTATCACCAAAAGTATGGTTGATCCTAAAAGTTAGAGAAAACAATCGCAGCATCTGTAATGATGACTCCTCGTTAAGATGGGAGTTTTTGTCCATTCCTTGCTCAGAGTTCTCTGAGAATATTCTGGAATAACTTTTCAGCTAAGACTTTAGCTAGGAGTTTTTAGGTTAAAGCTGCACTAACTCAGGGACGTGCGGTGAGGTTTGTGATTGGGGAGGCACTGACTTTAAAAGTCAGATTTACAATCATTATTCAAATAAAATAGCATTTAATCACCAATGCAATGACATCCACAAACTTTATATACTGTAAAGATAAGAGAACCAGCTTCTTTTAATAATCTCACAACAAATCTAGCTGCTGACTCTGCTCCGCATCAAACAACATCTTTAAGAAGCGCAGGTGCGAGAGACGCGAGGAGAGAGAGACGCGAGGAGAGAGGAGCAGAGAGAGACAGAGAGGAGCAGAGAGACGGAGACGCGAGGAGCAGAGAGACGGAGACGCGAGGAGAGAGAGACGCGAGGAGAGAGGAGCAGAGAGAGACAGAGAGGAGCAGAGAGACGGAGACGCGAGGAGCAGAGAGACGGAGACGCGAGGAGAGAGAGACGCGAGGAGAGAGAGACGCGAGGAGAGAGGAGCAGAGAGAGACAGAGAGGAGCAGAGAGACGGAGACGCGAGGAGAGAGAGACGCGAGGAGAGAGAGACGGAGACGCGAGGAGCAGAGAGAGACAGAGAGGAGCAGAGAGACGGAGACGCGAGGAGCAGAGAGAGACAGAGAGGAGCAGAGAGACGGAGACGCGAGGAGCAGAGAGAGACGGAGACGCGAGGAGAGAGAGACGCGAGGAGAGAGAGACGCGAGGAACATAAATAATTTAAACAAGTTGCAGAACTCTTGAGCAGTGTTTGAATCAGTGTTTTTCGGAAAAGCACTACTTTGCCGGTATCTGTCAATGTTCAACATAAAACACAGATTAACAAACTCCTCCCCCGCAGCCGGACTAACCTCGTAAGTCCAGTGGTGGTCTCCCAGTCTATATTAATTCTTTCTTTGTTTGAAAGTCCAATTGAGAAAAAAAATCTTCATTCAAATCATCCATTTTCCAGCAAAAGAAATAGCATTTTGGGCTGATTGTTTGTTAGCAACTCTGGTATGAACTTTATGCTCACTATCACCCCTAGCGGTGAGGCACAGATACCGCCTGCCTCACGCCAAGCTTTTTCCTTGTGTGTTCATCTACGATCAAAAGACTTAAACTAAATATAAATTGTACACATATACGTGCAATACACTACTAAACACTAAGAGGAGTTTAAAAAATGTTTTTAAAGCAGGATATTTGAAACAAACGGTGATATATCAACTGCACGAGCTGAGTGCACTCAGACACACACACACACACTGTGAGGGTGCGGTCTGGGGTGAGGCACGCAGGAGCGCTGCCTCACCTCGTCTCTTTGAATAGGAATAACGGGATTTCGGCGATTTTGACTTCAGAAATGATCAAAACTGATGGGAACCGTGCCGAATATACATTAAAAGCATAGGACAGTGGATATAAATTATATATTTAAACTAAAATAATTATTAGTTTCCAATAATGGCAGGTGAGGCTCTGCCTCCCCTGCCTCCCCTGACTGCACGTCCCTGCACTAACTGACTTTTTGACTTTTTTGACTTTGGATTTTGAAGCAGCGGACTCGCTGGCCTCGCTCTTTCTGCTCCCATCCCTGCACCCGCGAAGCTATCGCCCCCACACACACACCCACTGTTGTTCACGGAGCTAGCGTCTCCCAATATGGATAATACATGGATACGGATTTGCACGTGGATGGCGTGATCATAGAACGATAGAACCGGGAAGCGCGGAGGAACAGGACTTTCCTTTGGATGGCTGTTTCGCTGCGAAAGCAGAAACTGGTGCTTAAGACAAGGAAGTTTCAGGTTAGCTCCGCAGCTTGTTGTGCTAACTCAGCCGTCTATGCTAACGACCTGTAGATTTCTCACAAAAGTGGGGGCTAGAGGTCCGCTGTGATTGGTCACAATCTGCGACCCGAAACACATTCTCTTCCTTGTTTCATCAAAACTCGATCTAAAATATAATGTCACGCCAGCACAACCCTGCTACTTTTTCTTCAAAAGGACGTATGTCCCAATGCACTACATGGACATGGATAGCATTGTCGTAATGAATACAAAAATAAAGTTAGTTAGTGCAGCTTTAAAGGGGACATATCATGAAAAATCCACTTTTTGTGTCTTAAATGCCTGATGTTGTGTAGTTGGAGCCTCTAGAAGTGCAAAAAAGTTGAAATCAGTCTCTACATTGGTTGCAGAGAACACTTCATATTCTGTTAAGGTAAGATTTTTCCACCCGTTCTGATTTTGCCATTCTCTATTACGTGTTTAGAATTATTACGTCACAGTATTTGCAGAGAGACTGCTATATAAGGGCATGGGCGTCTAACAAAACACTTCGGCCCAGCCCTCCTCTACTGTGCATCACTTTGAATTTGTAGTCCAAGCTCAAGGATGCCAGCGAACAGGGCTGGACTGGCCATCGGGCGTACCGGGCAATGCCCAAAGGGCCGATGCCCATATTTGGGCCGGTCTGTCTGCCTCATACAAAACACATGTTTATGAGAAGTGTAAATCCGTTGAGAATTGTTTGAGCGGGGCGCGCGTATCCGCGGGGCACCTGCTGTATGTACTCGAACGGGATTCCGCCACCTCAGCGGCCGCAGTGTTCCGGGGCATCTGCGGCCGCTTTGTAATGAGCAGCTTCCGCGTCCAGCGGCTGCGAGAGGCTGTGAGCGTCCAGCCGCTCGCAGCCGCTCCACCGCGTTGTGGCTGAGCACGCAGCCTCAACGTGGCCATGTACCCAACCCCATAAACGCGCACAGGACACGCATGGTCCTGTGTGAGTCCGCGTCTCCCCTCTCCTCTCGAAGCGCGATTAAACGCCCTAAATAAAGCTCTGATACCTAAATTTTGCATTGCATTAAAAGTTCATGTTTGAGCCCAAAAGTAATATGTTGTGAACAAATTAAACAGATTTAGAGCCAGCAAATGGCTGACAATATGCATTTCAGTCTTTTTTGACCAATTCTCATCCCTGTAACAAACAATAGTGTTGTCTGTGTCCACCTCCCGTCCAGTCTGGACCTCTTTTCGGGGCATTTTTTGAATAAATCTGCAGAATGGATTACACTTTGGGAAATACAAGTGGATATTCTTCTTCAATAGACAGTTACGGAGAGAAAGCAACTAAGCAAGGATGGGGAAAGTATAATTTGTTGGAGCAGCAGAAGACGAAAGGTAAAAAACAAATACAGACGTGATTTATTTTGTGCCCATATTATGTGTTATCTTTTTAATGCAAAGTCTGATATCGTTTACACTTACATATAAATATAGCTGAGAAAATAAGCTTTAAAATGATATATAGCTTGTGGCTTATGAAGTTCAAAATACATCTGCTATTGCCAGCAGATGTATTTTTTTCCTCGTTTGCTCCCGCCGGCGGGGGTAGCGAGCTTAAGGGGTCAATACATTGCCTCAATGGCAGGCAATGTCCCGGGGGCCATAGATAATTCATTCGCGGGCCGGATTTGGCCCGCGGGCCTTGACTTTGACACATGTGCTCTACAGTATTTGCTTCCACATACTGTATAAACTAGGAGTCGGCAACCTGCGGCTCCGGAGGCGCATGCGTCTTTTTCCTTCTGTAGAAGGAAAAACGTTCTTAACGTTTTTAAATGCTGTAAAATTGTGCATAAGTAATATTCAATTTAAAAATTTCTGTCAACGTAGTGCGTCTTATCCTGCGACGTAGGCCCGCGCCAGGCGGCCGCTGTTGTAAACAAACCGGCATGTGAGCTCTGCTTGTGTACAAGTCTCTCCATGGCCTCGCTCCAAAATATATTAGTGACATGTTAGTCCCATACAAACCAGCCCAGACTCTGAGGAGCACAGGGACTGGACTCCTGCTGGGACTCTGAGGAGCACAGGGACTGGACTCCTGTTAGTGCCCAGAGTCAGAACTAAACATGGGGAGGCTGCTTTTCAGATTCATGCTGCTAAAATCTGGAACAGTCTTCCTGAAGATGTGAGACAGGCCTCCTCTCTGACAATGTTTAAAACCAAGTTAAAAACAGTTCTGTTTAGCTGTGCTACAACTGAGGGATTTTATATTTTTATCTTTCTTTTAATGTTCTGTGATTATTTATGATTTTAATGCTTTGCTAAACTTTGAGTTGCCTTGTGTATGAATTGTGCTATATAAATAAACTTGCCTTTCCTTGCCTTGACTGTGCGCATGGATCCTAAAGCTAAAAAGAGAAGAGTCGATAATAAGACTGGACTAAGAAAGAAAATTAACATTTGCTTTCAGTCAATGAGGAAGGCCTGCTTCATGTTTGCGATGTAATGAGAAGTTTCGATGAGATAATTGTATCTGTGCTTAGAAACTACGAAAATGGCCGCTCGGGGTGGAGTTGAACCTGTGTCACCTGGATGGGGGGGGGGGGGGGGGTCAAAAGCGCCTCATTTGCAAAACAGGTTGCTCTCAGACGCACCTCAGAACAGGTGTAGAAGAAAGGCCCGTGGAGCTACAAATAATGAGACTCAGACCCAGGCATTGCAGTTACGCTTTATATAGGCCACAAATTAATGATTTAGATGTAAAAATCAATTATTTGAAAACACGATATGTCCACTTTAAGTTAGAAGCTTTCTGAGACGACTCTCAGAATCTTTAGGCATACGGCCCCAGAATGTCATGAGGAGGGAGTGAGTGAATAGAGGGTGACAAGAGGCTCCAATGCGACAGGTGTTCGGTATCTTGCTTTGCCTAACCTTTGTCTGTGAAAAGCGTTATAGAAATAAATCTTACTACCTGCTTACAGTTGTCTTACATCTATTCAATTTCAATGACATTTTAAACAGGTAAATAATGGTGAAGGAACAGTTCACAGAAAGGAGAGCTCAAACTTCAAAGTCTCAAGCTTGTGTGTACATCTGAACAAGCTGGGGGCAAAACAGTAAAGTACGACCTGACACTGTGTTGTCACTTGATGATCAGAGTGGAGTCTGGGGTGTCCCGCTTAGAATGAAAACCTTAGTTCTGAACAAGTTTGACACACCGGTGCTCTGTAGTATTAGATGATCAAAATGCATGTGTAAGCATCAGTCCTTTGTTTGCAGATCCTCTGGTGGTACGAGTCTGTATTTGAAAAGTTAACCTGTGACCTCGGCCTCAACCCCGCCCTCAAGAGCCTGACCGAGGCCTTCTTTGACTATTTTCTGGTGGGAGGCATTCACAATTTACAATGAGGCTCAGAAATATTAATATCTTGTCAATTTCTCTCGTTACTCTAGGAACTGGCCAAACCTTCTGTACCAGGTGAGGACTTGGGTATTACCACCGTTTGCAAGATAGATTTAACTAGACAAAGATTGGTTTGTAAATTACAAACAATTGTAATATTTTTCAAAGTTCATTTTTCATCAGGCGCCAACCAGTGGTGCAAATCTCAATACAGAAATCCACTGGCTTAATTCTTGAGTTGTTGATATAACGGCGATATAACTGTTCTGTTTAGTGAGCGAGCTGCGTGTGATTCTCATGTATCTGTGCCGCACTGCCCTGGACCCCACTGTCACCTTCAGACTTCGCTTGGAGGTAAGTCTACTACACCATTTCAGTACTTTTACTTTCAGTCTTGACAGAATAACATGATACTCCCTATTGCTCCCTTCAATATCCTTTGTTCTTCCCTGAAATGTACAGTAGAGACCAAAAGTTTGGACACACCTTCTCATTTAAAGAGTTTTATATTTTCATGATTATGAAAATTGTAGATTCACACTGAAGGCATCAAAACTATAAATTAACTCATGTGGAATTATGTACGTACAAAAAAAAAAGTATGAAAGAACTGAAAATATGTATTGTATTCTAGGTTCTTCGAAGTAGCACCTTTTTCTCTGATTACTGCTTCACACACTCTTGGACTTCTCTTGATGAGCTTCAAGAGGACCTGAAATGGTGTTCAAACAGTCTTGAAGGAGTTCCCAGAGATGCTTAGCACTTGTTGGCCCTTTGGCCTTCACTCTGTGGTCCAGCTCACCCCAAAACCATCTGGATTGGGTTCAGGTCCGGTGACTGTAGAGGCCAGGTCATCTGGCCCAGCACCCACCACTTTCCTTATTGGTCAAATAGCCCTTACACAGCCTGGGTGTAAATTTACAGTCAAGAGTCATGAAAAGAAAGGGCACTCACTGAATGAGAAAGCGTGTCCAAACTTTTGATCTGTACTGTACCTTTCATGAAAAAGGGTGGTCCTAGGTTTTGTCAAGTGGAATATAAATTATGCTGGGATGTGTTTAATGCCCTATTTGAAAAGAAATCAGAATCAGAATAATTTTTTTTGCCACGTAAGTAACAGGAAGTCACAGACTTGGAAATTGCTTTGGCTCAGTGCAATAGTCAGAAAGAGATAATAAAGAATAAAAAAACACTTCTAAGGAATAAATTTACAATATACAAGTGCACACGGTGCACACAATGTAAGGTGACAGTACAGGTCCTGCAGCGGTGGAAGGCTGCGGCCAATCACTTCCTCTGCAGGGCGCACAATGCGCTGTAGTGTCTGTTTGTCCCTGACTGTGGCTCCAGCGAACCACACGGTGATGGAGGAGGTGAGGATGGACTCAATGATGGCCGTGTAGAACTGCACCAACATCTGTGCAGGCAGCTTGGCTTTCCTGAGCTGCCGCAGGAAGTACATCCTCTGCTGGGCCTTCTTGATGAGGGAGCTGATGGTCGGCTCCCACTTGAGGTCCTGGGTGATGGTGGTGCCCAGGAAACGGAAGGACCCCACAGAGGTGATGGGGGAGTCCATCACGGAGGGTGGGGGCGGGGGGACAGTGCTCTTCCTGAAGTCCACAATCATCTCCACTGTCTTCTGGGCGTTCAGCTCCAGGTTGTTACCACTGCACCAGGACACCAGCCGGTCCACCTCCCTCCTGTAGGCGGACTCATCGTTGTTGGAGATGAGTCCAATGAGGGTGGTGTCGTCCGCGAACTTGATCAGCTTCACGGAGTCGTGGCTGGAGGTGCAGTGGTTGGTGTACAGGGAGAAGAGCAGGGGAGAAAGAACACAGCCCTGTGGGGCTCCTGTATTTATAATCCGAGAGTCCGAGACATTCTTCCCCAGACGCACTCGCTGCTTCCTGTCCGTCAGGAAGTCAGTGATCCACCTGCAGGTGGAATCGGGCACGTTGAGCTGGGAGAGCTTGTCCTGGAGCAGGGATGGCAGACGTAAGTCATTTGAACGCCTGGTCCTCTCCCATCTCAAGTCCCTCACCTCCCCCCTCCTGGACCCCCTGCAGTTCGCCTACAGGGGGTGTAGGGGTAAGCGGTATCTATGAATTGAGTGTTTCACTTGATTTGTTTTTCAAGCTTATAAACGGGCATCAACTAAAGAATTTACATCTACTACATATTGTACACGATATAAATATAGCCAAGCTGCCTGCACAGATGTTGGTGCAGTTCTACATGGTAGTGATGTAAAGTTCGATTCATTTTACTGACTCGAGTTAAAGTGAATCACTCACCAAAGTGAATCGGGTGTTTTGAGTCATTTGATTCAGTGATTCAGTTGTTCAGAAAAAAACATACATGAACACAAAATAATGCTAAAATGGCAATTTACAATCAAAACATTTATTAAAATTTGATAAATGGTAACAATAACAAATATGTAAACTAATTTGACAAAATATAAACTCTTTAAATTTAACAATTCAACAGTAAAATTGTGAACAAAGCAGCAACAACATTCCAAGCGAGGGGCTGTCACAATACAAGAAATACAATAACACGAACAGATTTTTTAACTATGGGGTGTTTGCTGGCTAAATGCCGTCTCATATTTGATGTGGTCCCTCCTTGAAATGATAAAACAACCTTGCAGAGTTGACATTTTGCTCGTGATGGGCCTGTTATTTCAAAGTGCATCCAAATATCGCTTCTTCTGCGGCTATCCATTTTCTATAAAAATATTTAAAACTTTCCGCCAAAAATGTGGTGTTACATAAATGTATTCCGTGTTAAAACCTACATTCCTGGTAAAAAAAAAAAAGGTCATAACAATTATATTATATAAATAATAAATACAAACAACTTTGATATTTTTCACACATTCATTTTTTATTGATGACAATCATTGTAACGCCAATAATGTTCGAGGCGGAACTCCTGTTGTCCGACGAGAGAAACACAGCTGAACAAATAACTTAAAAAATAGCCAATTATATTTTTCAATCTACCTCACATAATACATGTAGAGGGTTATTATTTTTTGTCAGATGGGGCAAAAGAAACTACTTTTTTCAACCCAGTGAGAGAACGAGAGTTACGAGACGAGTCGGTGTCCTGTCCTGTTGTTTCGACTCGCTTGATGCTGAGTGAGTGAGTGAGTCAGATCAGATGAACGATTCGTTCAGAGCTGAACGACTCGAAGGGGAGCGGGAAGGGGCTGATCCAGAACCACAGTGAGTCGTTCACTGCTCGTACGGCTCGTACTAGCAGGCGCGGGCAGGCAGGAAGGAGGACGTTACGGTGAAGTAGATGGTTGTAAACAATAAGCTTTTGGTTTCTGTGCTCAAACGAGCTACAGTACACACACACACAGTCACACACGTAATATTAGAGTGTCATTCATTGTGGCTAGTAGAAAACGCAGTCTGGGGGTCGCAGTTTAGAAAGTGGTGGGCGGACGAGTTAGTGAACGAGTTAATGGAGGCGGGGAATCACGACTCCCGAGTCAGTAAAGTGAATCTCGAGTTTTGAACGATTCGTTCACGAATCGCACATCACTACTACACGGCCATCATCGAGTCCATCCTCACCTCCTCCATCACCGTGTGGTTCGCTGGAGCCACATTCAGGGACAAACAGAGACTACAGCGCATTGTGCGCTCTGCAGAGGAAGTGATTGGCCGCAGCCTTCCACCGCTGCAGGACCTGTACTGTCACCTTACATTGTGTGCATCATGTGCACTTGTATATTGTAAATAGTAACTGTAACTATTTTAAATTTAAATGTATGACTGTTGCACTGAGCCAAAGCAATTTCCAAGTCTGTGACTTCCTGTTACTTACAAAAAAACTTACTTACTCCTGGCAGTTAAAAGTTACTTACTCCTGGCAAAAAAAATGATTCTGATTCTGATTTCTTTTCAAATAGGGCATTAAACACATCCCAGCATAATTTATATTCCACTTGACAAAACCTAGGACCACCCATTTTCATGAAAGGTACAGTACAGATCAAAAGTTTGGACACACTTTCTCATTCAGTGAGTAGCCTTTCTTTTCATGACTCTTGACTGTAAATTTACACCCAGGCTGTGTAAGGGCTATTTAACCAATAAGGAGAGTGGTGGATGCTGGGCCAGATGACCTGGCCTCCACAGTCACCGGACCTGAACCCAATCCAGATGGTTTTGGGGTGAGCTGGACCACAGATATAAATATACATACATTTCATCTCAAAAGCTTTTGTTTTGTTTAAATTTCAATGAACTCAGTGTACAGTTTAGCTAGACCATCTGTAGATGTAGCAGATCATCTTTAGATGAAGCAGAAATGAGCCTCTGATTAACATCTGTTTCTTCCCAGGCCATTCGTACCTTCAACAGCAGTCTGGAGTCGTGCGGCCCAGAGCAGAGGAAAGTGCTGCAGGGCCACCATGACATTGCCTGCATTCTGTAAGAGCAGCCATGAACGCTATTCTCCTGGCTAATCCCATCATTCTCCAAACCTCAGATTGGCGGTCAAGAGTCTCTGCTAAAACTAGATTTCTGGCTCATTTCTCTCAATGTGTGCGTGCTCAAGCAATGCTGGTGATCCAGATTCATGGTTACCAAAGTGTGGGGTCATGGCCTACAGGGGGTGTCTGAACAATAAGGCCCTGTATAGACGGAGATGCTCCAAAGCAATTTGCAAAAACGACCAAGCTCCTTATTCCAAGTGCACAGCGTTTACACAACAACGTAAAACAATATAGTTCTAGCGCCCAGGCAGAACTTTACAACACATACACGCGACCCCCACCGGTATAATCACTTCCTCAATAACATCCTCTTCAGCCACTGCAAAACCTCAGGAGAATGCACCAACATCATTCTGCATTTAACAGTAGAAGCAAAAATGGAAACTAAACCTAAAACTTCACTATTTTTTTTTTTTTTGGACAAACGAAGGAGTAGTAATTGCTCCTCCGTGTAACCCTCAACGCGTAAGTAGCATTAGTTGATCCACCGCCATTGTTGTTTACGTTTGTTCTCTGCTACAGCGAATGTTCAAATGTACGTGCAGGGAAGTGGTGAGGTGATTTCAATCAGTTAGTTCACTCCTTTTTCTTTACACAGCTGTGAAAAAGCCCCCTGCTGTGCATCATATCTGTTCTCTCCTGAAACACAGTCTTCATGTAAACGAAAGGCCAATCTGATACCCAACTCTAACATTTTACTTTTCCAGCGTCCTAGTGTGAACGACACATATATGTATACTGGGGGCTGCAAGATGATTTCCAGATGAAAGGGCTGCATTATATTTAGTCATGTTTTGGGAAAATACTTAAAGCTGCACTAACTGAGTTTGGGAAATTTTCGAATGTGAGCACTGGCTTCGCTCTTTCTGCTCGCCCTCTCCGCACAGAGCTTTTGCCCCTCCCCCTCAGCCTGCGCTCACATGCTAATTGTTACGGAGCTCAAGTCTCACAATATGGATCGCATATTTGAGTGTGGATGGCGTGACCATAGAATGATAGAACCGGGAAGGGCGGAGGAACGAGACTTTCGTTTGGATGGTTGTTTTGCTGTGTAAGCAGTGACCGGTAACGAAGACACAGGAAGCTTCAGGTTATCCTCCGCCGCTTGTTAACCTCAGCTGTCTGTGCTAAAGAGAGACCTGTGGCTTTTCTCAAGAAAGCGGTGGTCCGCTGTGATTAGTCACAATCTGGATCCGAAACAAATTCTCTTCCTTGTTTCATGAAAACTAGATCTAAAATAAAATGACACGCCAGCACAAACCTACGCTACTTTTTCTTCAAAAGGACGTATGTCCCAATGCATTGCATGGATATGGATTGAATTTTTGTAATGAATACAAAAATAAAGTCAGTTAGTGCAGCTTTAAATTAAGTGGAAGAATTGAAGAAAACTTCCCATTGGGTACTTCTCAATTATTACTTTAAACTAGATTCAAAAGAGAGGGTGGTAAATCTCTTTGAGGTTCACATCTGAAAATTTTAACAGTTTGACTTTAAGGCACCAAAAAAAAAAGCCTCATCAAACTAAAATTCCATTCTTGTAACATTGTATTTTTTTTGACAGATCTGAAATGGCGGCAGCTCTCTTCACAGCCGGAGGCAAGTTACTCATTGACATTCATTTTATACAATTCTCTTGATATTATCTTACTGAAAGTTTAATTTACAATGAATATTGCATGTTTGAGTAGTTCTGTATAGTATGACCATGGTATAGACAAGCGGATGATCACAGAACATCACCAATTTCTATTCATTATGATTATAAAATTTTGAGCTACATTTTGTTCCATAAAGTCCATAAACTTTTTCTAATTTATGAAGCAGTTTTAAAACTAGTTGTGCCATAAACTGAAGAAAAATGTATATACATCTACCATAGTCTCATTTGTGTGCAGATTATGAGCTACAGGCCTCCATCACAGAAACTTTGTGCCGCCTCACTCTCAAACTTGACCGTCCAATCAAAGCCAGTGAGTGGTTCACCAGTGATCTCGGCCACGCCTTCCAAGCAATCCGCAACCCCTACTTTGAGGCTGTGAGTGTTTAACTTTAGGTTTACATTCTGGCAAAGATGGACTGAGAGTCCTGACGTCACCCATAGTGTTGGAACATAGACTGTAATTGAAACTAAGGTGCCACCACTTTTGCCTTCTGTGGGCTTTTCACATTGGCAGCAACTGGGAAATTTGGAATCACATTTGAGCATGCATTAGCCGATATGAGCCCCATGAGTGCATTCAAAAGTCCACAGCCGCTAAACTAGACTGGTCCAAAAAATAACAGAAAAAAAACCCTCGGCATTGACACACATCTGGAACGTAGTCTTTGGCCAAGAGCCGACTTTTGGACCATCCTGTAAAGCCGTTTTAAAGAGAAAAGAAGATGCCATACAAAAGCATAGGGTAATTCTCCTGCTACGACACGCTCGGACCCCGGCAACGAGGGTGACCAGACGCCAAAGCGACAGCACAGCATGGCCATATAAAAGCAGGACTCGCAGGGCAACAAGGCCTCACCGCTGCACTACAACAGCAATTAACTTATTAGTGGCTGCAACGTACAAAATATTAGCATGAACACTTGATCTCTACTACCCGGAGCAGGAGAAGGCAGGTGCGACGAAACACAGGAGACAGAAGTGCAGACGTAAACAAGAACACAACTCGAGACTATTTATACGTGTATGCGCCCTCTAGTGGACGCAAATATGGTAGCCAAGTCCAGATGCCACACAAGCATGTCAGCGCTCATAGAACTTTCGGAGCCGTGACCTGTCCCCACTGCGTTGGAAGAAGTCATCCATATGTGGTCATTTGGGACAGCATGGCGACCTACACGGCATAGCAGAGGCAGATGCAAACTAACATGTTGCTAACGTGGTTGCTAGTCCACGAGTACTTTATTGTTGAGCTTCATCGAGCTAGCGGGTTAGCATTGTCAATATATAGTCTATGATTGAACTGCTATATTGTTTTCAAATCTGACAAGGTTCTTAAGACTTTTATTCAGGCCTGATGAAGGAACACCTGGCATAAACACACATCAGGACTGGTGTGTCAGATATATCGAGCAGGTTGGTTGCGGTTGACCAGTTCGAAACCCCACGTACGTAACCACAAGAACACACTTCTAATTACCCGAGAGCTGATCCAGACTGCTGCGATGTGATTGAGATTGGAGTCTTTCCTTAGACCACTCATAGCTCTGTGGTCAATGTAATGGGATGTTGGCATGTCCAAATACCTTTGTGGCCCACTTTTATGCAGACTCAAAGTAGCTGTAGTAGTGTAGGAGGGCTGCCAGTCTGTGCCATTGGCCCCTCCATCCCCCAATCATTCACACACCAGATTGTCTCACTGTAATGGTCCCACTGTGTTATCTGATTTTTTATAGTTTTCCCAGATACATTTTTGAGTTAGTTTATGTTGAGAATAACAATTTCTGTCTAATCCACTCACCTCTCTGATACAATTCCATTGTACCTTTTGTTCTGGGCGTGATGTTTTCCTCAGGACTGCAGGCACTTCCTGAACTTCCTCAACAATACCCACGGTGACCAGCGGAGGTCAGACGAGTGCCATATATGACAGGTACCATCTTGGAGCCATAATGACCCTATATTATCTTTCAACAGGGTTTACACATTTCCTTGTCTGCAAGTCTTCCTCGACTCTACAGAGGTATCTTGGAAAAAAATTATTATCTATTATTTTCACTTTTTTGTTTATCTATATCCACCAACTTCAAAGCACTGTCTCACAGCTACTCTCCCACCTATATTTTTTATTTTATTTCAAACCTGCATCCAATTTAATTTATAACACCGGTGATACCCAGAAAATTATAATATCTTTCACAGGTAAATTTATTGTATTTACAGAAACTCACTGAACATAATAGAAATTAGTTCTTGTTTCTGTTTTGTTTCAGCTGAGTCGGCCCAAAGATGAGGACATGGAGGAGTTCTGGGTTGACTTTAATTTGGGCTCTGAATGTGTTAGTTTCTTTGTGGATGATCCAAACAAAAAGATGGTAAGTTTTTTTAAAATGATCCCTCTTGAGATGGAAAGACATATTTTGTGTTGTTTTTTTTACCCAGTTTCTGTGGGAATCAATCCATGTGATGAGGGATGAGGTCAATCGCTACAGCCTCACAGGTCAGTACTGTTACAGAATAGAATGCACATGTATCTTTTTTTGTTAATGTTTTTTAGAATAAAAAAAAGACACGCGCCTTCTTTTTGCCTTGGTGGAGATTGGCCTTGTTTAACTCTAGTTGAGATAAGCACCAAGCACGCCAAGAGGTCACCATCTCCCAGAACAGACCATTCCCTGAGCACTGTCGGACTGTGTAGAATAAGTTGCCAACACAATCACCAAGGCACAAAGTGGAGGTTGGGTCCAGCTTATACTTAATAGAAAATGTTTGTTGTGGAGTCAAGTACATCCAACGTAAAGTTTTAGATGAATCTGTTAGTGGTCTGGGAACAGTGAGGAATGGTACCGTCATCTCTGCTCTGCTCTGAAAGCTGTACATCTGTGAGAGGAAACATTTTAGAAATCCAGTCTACTTTATTTATATAGCACATTTCATGAATGTAACTTGGAGACCTAGAACCGACCTAGAAATGGATTAAGGAGTAGAAGTTTGATGGATAAACAGTTTCCAGGCTGCACGTCAAAATTGAATTTAAACAGGACAATCATTAAACTTTCAATAGACACACACTTTTCATGAGTACCCTCTAAACACTTTAACAAGGATGTGGCAGTTTTCAGTTTAAAGGCATGTATATCAAATAATCCGACCCAAATATGAAATGTGAATGAAAGCTGAAATATACTCTGGGAGGCAGGCAGGAGGTGACGCTTTGCCTAACAAGCTCAAATTATTTCCCTTGAGGTCCCACCTCTTCCTGAAGGTGAAAATAGTCTAGAGATGTTCCACGGGTTGTAAAAAAAAAACAGTTTAAGGGGTAAACCTATACATCTGCCATTAACCAGGTTATTTCCATTGGTACTCTCTGGACACGGTTGACAAACGTGACATACTGTGTATATGCCACATTTGCTGTTTGTTGAAATAAAGTTCTCATTCATTTTTTTTATGGCAATATGTGTCTGAAACCCATAACTCACGCAGGAAGCAAAATTATAGAATCTGTCAAAATGTAAGTGGTTGAAAAAATATTGGTTACCTTTTTTCATAAGAGCGGGTGGTCCCCGTACGTTCTGTCATGAAACCTGAATATGTGCAGTATTCCTTCAACCGCCTACAATCAACGGATTGCTATACTACATGCAATAATTAACTTTATACAGGCAAATTGGCTGTTTTTGATATACAGTACCACTCACTTTTGTAGTTTATAGATTTCAGTTGTACCTGTATTCAATTAATTTATGTTAGATTATATAAAGCAAAATGTGAAATGAACGTAGCTATAACCAGGACTTGGTTTTCATAACTGTTCTACACTGAATTAGAAGTAATATGAGATGATTGGTATTTGTTCCCTGGTGGTTGGGTTGTTTTCTTTTTGCAGAGGTGCACGGAGTGTCAACGCTGGTTATGGACTTAACAAAGCCAATGAATCTTGAGAGTTTCCAAGGCGGGAGACTGGTTATGAAGTTCAAGGCGGACCTCCACCAGGAACTCGGCCGCATCATTTGTCGAATTTTAAAGGTTATGTTTACCATTCTCTTCTTTTTTTACTTTATTTGACCATTCACTTCCTCCAAAGCAGAAGACGTTGTTGCCGGTATCTTTCATGCGGACGTATCGCATCAAACCCCCCAAAAAGAAACTTAGAGGTTAGTCTGCTGTAAAATGTCAACGTTTTGATCGAACACTTTTGAGATGTCACCAACTTTCAGTAATTCATGCAGTACAAGTCTGTGAACCTTCCATGGCTATAAGTCACCACGTTTTACAGTTGCTCCATATGAAAAAAACATGTTGACTAATAACAAATGTGACCTTTTTAAGAATATTTACATCCACCATGTTTTTGTTTTCAAAGGCTTAGAATTTAACTCATAAATGTCCATGAGAGAGGAGGGCTCTCCGTGTAAATGCGCCATCTTGAAATACAGGGGTGGATAAGGGACAAAAATAATGCGAGAATCACATTTTTGTTTCACAGGTGCTACCGATGTTTTTGCTTTCACTGTGCCCTCACAAGTTTGAAGAAGGGATCATGAAGGTCCTTTGTTTGGGTTGTTCTTTTACATAACTATCTTAAAAATAATGATGCAAAAGTTAAAACAACAGGAGGCACACCTACAGTAATGACAACAAAGTCTCAGGATGTTCTGACCCGATCCGAGCACAGTCCAACTACTGTCACAAGTTTCAACTAAACTTATTCAGGGACAAGCCACAGATAAAACACTGAATCCCCACAAAACAATCGGCAGAATACTTTATCAGCAGCGTGAGTGAATGTTCTGTTTTCTTACCGTGATGCAGCGCTGTGGCTAACGCTAATGCTAACATGAGCTTTCAGCCATGTCCTGCCGCAGCTGTGTATATCTCCTGCTTCATCGTAGTTTTAAGCTCCCGCAGACCTTAATCCTCCATGCGTCTCTTCTTTTCACACCGCGTTTGTAAAACTATATATTATGATGGATCCATAGTAAAACTCAGAGCCAACGTGGTCTTGTTTACACGTCACCTCCACGCGATTGTGTCAAGTGGCCGAGACGTATGGATGGATCTGGTCATTTGTCAAAGGATTCTTTCCTTGGCCCCGGTGAGTGACTGAGAGTTGAGGAGCAATGTTAAAAAACAACATATTGTCTGTCAAAGGACTGCAATATATGATCGCAACGCTTGATGAAAGTACAAACTACACTGTGTATCTTTAACAAAAAGGGTATCTTGGCATTATGTTTTATTGCAGAAGTTGCAATGAGAAACAAGATTAGGTTCAGTGTAGTGAATTGTATTCTAAAATTGTTAAAATTAAAAAGGGAAAAAGTAAAGTCAATTGTGGGAACAACAAACATCCTATGCCACTTCCAGAAATCATAGGATGATTTTATTTTTTCTCCGGTGGATCATCAAGACTATCGGTCCTCCTAATTGTCGATGCTCCTGGTGATATGTGACGTAAGGCCGTCATACGTGCTCGTCAAACAAGATCAGTGTCTTTGGGAGATTCTTGCAGCCCTGGTTGGACTTCCCTCTGATGTAAAGTTACTACTTAGAGAAATCCATTTCAAATGATCCGCGAAAATTGATCTACATCTATTTATTTATTTTTTTACCTTTTTATTTAACCACCCAAAGTCCCATTGAAATTAAGAACTTCTTTTTCTAGTTCCTGGACAAATATATTTGTATGACTTGGTGTAAAAAGTTAAAATCTTCTTGGAAAGTGAGCTTGTGTAAGTGACTTGTAAACGGAGCACGAGCCCGGCCTCATGCATGTCTCTCGAATACGTTTTAGTAGGCATTCCCTCGCGAGAACACAAAGGAGATCTTTTAATTGGGAATACAGTGGGAACATCTCCAAAAATAATTGCAAGCGTGACATGCAGGGTTATATGGAAGTTACCAATATACGTAGAAGTTGGTAAATGAGTATTCATCTGTGCACAATTGTGACTATAGACTGATGTATGTTTGTATTTCTCTGCAGTTTTACCACTGTCTTCTGCCAGCAGCGATGAAGATTCTGTTCTTAAGGTAAGAGATTTGCAGCTCTGAACGAAGCAGATGCTGTATGTTTTCATGTTTTGTGCAGTCTCCAATGATGAGTCGAGCGGAAATGTTGTTTGATCAGATCCAACACTCAACACCGATCTCAAAGTGTGGTGAGGAATTGGTATTCCACTGCATTTAAAAGAATCCACTTGCAGCCAAGTTTAAAAGTGTCTCATTTAGGGGTCAGCTGGGGGCCGGAGATACATGGCAGCAGCTCCACTTCAACAGTATTGTCTCCCTTTGCAACATATTTATGTGATATTGAGTATTTTAATTAACATGGATTCTCCTAAAACAGGAACTTGGAAGAACTGTCAGAAAAAAGTGTTCTGCGGACTCTGGTAATAAAAAAGTTTCAGATAATCAGTCAGTATTTTGAGTTACTTTGTTTTCATCGCTGAATTATCAAGTTATGTGTCAACGATGGGTCAAAAAGGTGACTTTATTTTTTACAGTGCTTCAAATATTACGAAGTGTCACTTTATCGGACGTATGATGACACGGGCTGTTTGGGCTGGGATATAGGCTGCGTGAGGGTATTTCTAACCTGCTGCTATTCTTAAACTGCACATAAAGCTTGTAGATTCCTTTGCTCGAGTGTGGCGTGATTGCCAAATTCAGATCCTCCTTGACATTGTGTGCAACACACCTGCTTAAAGGTTAAGGAAAATACTTATATTTATACAACTTATACAAGGCTTTTCCTCAAATTTCAAATACATATCCTTATAATGTAAACAATAAATCAATTACTGCGTAGACGACAACAAAGCAAACACATGGATTGAAGATGTACAAAATAAATGGACTACAACGCCCTGTAAGGTTTAATCGAGCAAAACTGCTCCCTACACAAGAGTTGTTTCTGTTTGTCATTGAAGACATCTTTAGTGTATGAACAGAATAAGAACTCATAAAGTACAACTTTTCTCACAAAAAAATGTTGTTCAAGACATGCAATGTAAATTGATATATAAGAAATAACACACTGCACACAAATGGTTGATCCATGACAGGCCTTGTGCAGGTCCTTTTGCTGTTTGTGATAATTACTTCCCACTTTTATCAGAAATCCAAAGGTCAATTGTTCACAGAGAGCTAATTTAAAAGTAAACACTTTTGAAGCACAAATGAGAAAAACATGAAAAGTTCTCAAATCTGAAGATTTTCACTTGTGTGTTTAGAGATCTACAAAACAAGTATCAAAGCCATTTTGTGTTTTGTTTCAAAGGTTACCTGTCAGAGCACACAGTGAACCCCTCCACAGAGAGCATGACGTCACGAGCTGAGCAAAAAGAAGATGCAGAGCTTATGGGCGAGAGATTGGCACTGGATGCAGGAGACATGTTTACTGACGAGTTGGGGCCTTCTGCAGAGCGGCCTGAGTCCAACAAGGAGTCTTCGGGAGAAGAAGAGGTGGCAGAAGTAAAATTAAACGTGGAGGAGGCCGAGGTGATCGCAAAGCAAGCGGCTGTGGCAGAAACAGGGTCTGTGTTGTGAAGTTACTTTATTCACTAAAACTCTCGTAATTTATCTTTATCAATTAATAGAGCAAGGTAATGCAACACAAGAACGTTCACTGCCATTGACGTCTATAGACGTCAATTACTTTTTTTTCGTTTTTTTCTTTCTATGGCTTGTCAAGGCTCTTGTGCATCCTGTGTCAACATTTCAGACCTGTAAACACTTTGGAAGAGGGGCAGAGGTGACACTGGCCAGATCCAGGGAGGGAGAAGGGGGCATGTGGTGCTGTGAGCGGGTAACAGGAGCGGGAGCAGCCATGCTTACATAAAGGACCGCGGATCTGAGAAGCTCACGCAGCTAACGCTGTTTGAGAGCCTGTTCAGTCATCAAACGGATAAATATGAAGCAGCTAGATGCCACGATGCTAGTTCTTCAGGTTTTAGTTAACATGAGGCTCCAGGATCCTCGGAGCCTTCCCCCTCCCTCCTCCCTCCTCGTCCAGCAGCAGCAGCTCCTCCCCCCGTCGTCATGTGGTAAGTTGCTTTTCACTTCAACATGTTGCATTTACGAGTTTATTTCTCCCCTTTGTCCAATGTAATAACAGCTCCAGGATTTTGCGCGCAATTGTTGATTGATGAATGATTATTGCGGGGTAAAATGCTTGATTACGCGGGACATTTTTCTAAAAGTTTCCCTGTTGAGTTTGGAGGCGTGTGAGTCTGGCATGCAGCATTAGCTGCCAGGGAGCTATGAATGATGATACCGTGTGGTTTATAGAAGGGACAGGGGGAGGTGAGCCATGGCAGACCGGTGAGCGGGACCCATGATGAGCAGCAAGTGTTAGATTTACCGCACCATGTGCATTCTGCTGTGGTGCGTCTCACTGTGGAGGGTGCGTCAGGAGCGCGCCCGCTGCTGCTTTGGAACAGGGAGCGAGAGACTGACTCTGTTGCTCTGATCCCGGAGTCTGCGTGATTTTGCGTTCAAACATTGAGAGATTCTGGAGGGAGTGACTATAGCAATCACTAGCTTATACTATAGTAAAAATAAACATAAAGTAACGTTTTTAGCGAATATTGAAGAGTTTTTTTTCATCTCAATGTCATAGCTGCTGAAGCCAAAACACTTGTTATAATGTGAAAATGTATGGTGATTTTATATTTTCCTTTGTGTTGTAGATTGTTGACCCCAGGACCCCAAAATGCTGCAGCAGAGCTTGATTTGGATCAGCAGCTGACTTCTGCAGCTCTTCATAACTGATGAACTTCTGGACCTGGATCTTGTTGTCGAACAGACAAAGCTGTATACAGCACAATATTTCAGTGCACACACACAGCGTCTCCCATTCAGCAGAGAAAATGCATGGAACCCAGTGACAGTCTAGCAGCTAAAAACCTTTTTTGGTTTAACATTTCTCACTGGGTTTGTAAAAAAAAAAACTAATCTGGAAATGTATTGGGAGTGCAGATGAAGTAGATTCCACCCCACACTTCAGCAGAGTGTGGGGTCACCTAATTACTATTCTTTATAAACTAAAGTAAAATTGTTTCACAAAGTGTTCAGAAAGTGTTATTTTTACTGTATATTTGTATACAAATATTTTTTTATTGTATACAAGTTGAATATTTTATGTGTACATGTGACAATCCTTTGAGTGTATTGTGTGTACACGTTTAATTTGTTTAAAAATAATTATACATTAAAAATACAATTCAAAGTATTGTTTCTGTTTTGTGTCATAGTAAGAAACTGTGATACATTGTAAAATATCAGTAAAGACAAAAAAACCCCACTTTTCTGCTGGAAAATGCGCATTTCACAAAAAGGCTGTTTTCTCCAAATCTTGGTCAGGAAACAGCATTTTGTGTGAAAGTTACCTATGTTGCACTCTCAATTGCTAAAAAACTAAAAGGGTTAGAAACTTACTTTTTTTTAAATGAAAGCCAAGGGATAGAGCTTTCATTTGATATGTTTCATACTTGTGTCAACCAAGGGCTCACATTTCTATGTGGTCTAAAAATGTCCAAAATCTCTGGCAGTATGAGGGATGCTGCTTTTTAAATGGCTGGCAGTGAATGAGTTAAAAAAATAATGGCACAGTGCCTGGATTATAGAAAGACAGGTGCAGATGCGGCAGAGAAAGACTGCTGAAGTCCTCTCGACAGACACTCTCAAACGGGACTAATGTATTTGCAGTCGGGCTATTGATGCAGAGTCTTTGGCTGTTGGGGCAGACTCTGAGGCCGACTCTGAGGCTGACGGGGCCGACTCTGACGCAGAGGGGAGGAAGTCTCAGGAGGAGGATGAGGGACCTGTTGCAGAGCAAGTGTCCCAAGTAGAAGGGAAGTCTGTCATGGAACAGTCTCCTCCTAAATTGGGTAAATATTAAATACAACATATTCTATGGGGAGCTCGTATGAATATCTTTCATAATGTGAACATATTACAGAGGTGTAAGTCTCTTCCTTACTTTCTAAGGAATGGATTATTTGCGTCATAGTAGTTATTATAACATTCTGAGTACTGGATTCCTAACAGTAGTACCCATTGCAAGCGATTTGCAAATCATTTTGAAATGTGAAGGTTTGATGCCTTTGTTATATAGACAAACATCAAAACTTCCTATATTATATATTTTTCACATCCATTATGAGGGTGTATAAAGTTCAAAATATTTGGACCTAACTAAATGCTAATGAATAGTGCATTTTTTGCACAAAGTCTGTTCTTGATATGGCTCTTTGTACTGCTCAAATAATGATCTATTTTCTCTGGTCTGCTCATGGATTTTATGCACGTACAAAAAGCAGTGTCATCTTAATTGATTATTTTAGCAAAGCATAACATGTTTCAAGGATTGTACTTAATGATTGCGCCATACAAGTAATCTTTGCCTTTCTGCTATTTACCCACAAGTCTGAGCTAACAAAATGCAAACCTTTCAGAGCCAGCTGCTAAAGATGTGATGCTCACAAACCCACAAAACTCTACAGCGCCGGCTTTGGGCTCCGAAAGAACAGAAGAGGCCAGAGACAACACTGACGTCATCGGTGGCCTTAAAAGTCAAATTGAGCAGCAGATATCTGTACGTAAGGATTCCAGGCTGATGCTCAGGCCAGAGTATTATCTTCAACATAAGAAACTGTGACTGTTCCAGAGCCAGTGGGAAGAGGTTGAGAACCAAGTAACTGAAAGCCACAAACACATGATGGAGCTGCTGTCTGCTTTTCAGGAGCGCAGGTAAAGATGTGTTCATTAAGCACGGAAAAGAATGGAACTTCCCACATTTTGTTATAATAGGGAAAGAAGTAAAAATCCAGTTTTAAGTCTGGGATTGTTCATTTTTTTCCACTTTGATGTTAAAGGGCTGGGTTGAATGATAGTATTCATTGTGTTCTATAATTTATCACATGACTTAGCCTCATAGCTATCTGCCATGTTTATGCCCCTCCATGGTTGTATAGTCAACTATGTCCCTTGCGTGTTGGGAAACATACATTGTCGATACATAGTCATCCACAAGGGTTCATGTGTGTCTTTCAACTCCAAAAGGTTCAGTATGGATGGATGCATATGAACACTGCAGAAAACTGCTCTGGAACTCTGGTCACTAGCAGCTGATTCATCCTGTTTCACCAAGCATTGCCATGGTAATGGAAGTGTCAGATATGTACCTGGTACTGTCCCATCAAATTAACATAATAATGAAAAGCCTGGGACTTGTGACAACCAAAATGCATTGCATCTCACCCAGTTATCTAAATACTAAAACATAGAGTTAACTACTGTTGTGATTTAGGGATGTACAAGAATAAATCAAATTGAACTGAATCATTAGCAGAGGATGATTTTCCTACCATCAGGGACAAATAAAGTGCACGGTGGCTGAGTGGATAGCACTCTCGCCTCTCAGCAAGAAGGTCCTGGGTTCGAATCCCGGTCAGACCAGGGCCTTTCTGAGTGGAGTTTGCATGTTCTCCCCGTGTCTGCGTAGGTTTCCTCCGGGTACTCCGGTTTCCCCTACCACTAAAAATATGTCCAATAGTTCTGGCATGTGCCTCTTGTACTGGCGACCCCGCACCCATCTCTGTGTGGAGTGAGAGACAAATGCCCATAATTAACAATTGTAAACCGCTTTGAGACTCAGATCTGCAGTGAAAAGGCGGTATATAAATAAAAACTTACTAACTTACTTACTTACACGGTGGCTGAGTGGATAGCACTCTCGGCTCTCAGCAAGAAGGTCCTGGGTTCAAATCCCGGTCGGACCAGGGCCTTTCTGAGTGGAGTTTGCATGTTCTCCCCGTGTCTGCGTAGGTTTCCTCCGGGTACTCCGGTTTCCCCTACCACTAAAAACATGTACAATAGGTCCGGCATGCGCCTCCTGTTCGGCGACCCCGCTCCCATCTCTGTGTGGAGCGAGAGACAAATGCCCAAAAATAACAATTGTAAACCGCTTTGTGACTCTGGTCTGTGAAAGGCGGTATATAAATAAAGATTACTTACTACTACACCTTTTATTTGTTCACGGTGGTGACATACTACTGTACCCACAGCTGCCTGGGAGCAGATTGACAGAAGCAAGACAGTTTGTCTGTGCCATCAGTTCACCACCACCAATCATTTACACACACTCATTCTAGACAATGTGGGTGAAGTGTCTTGCTTAAACACAAGTTTGGCATTTTACAGCCAGTCGTCGCACTGTGGCACCTCATGTTCTCAGAGGTCTCCCATCACCTGCTGCCTTGCTTAACTTCAGAGGTTTGACATCGGGCTTTGCATGCAGGTGGTGCTATCTGGTCTCACTAGTCTGGCTTGAAGAAAAAGTTAAATCTGACAAGTTTATCCAAATCATTAAACTATGTGCTTGATCACTGTGAAGATATGTGCTACTGTGCTACTGTTTTCACTAACAAAGCCCCTGGTGACAGAATGATATGCACGTCTGTTGTTCTTTCTAGAGCGGTGCAGGTGCAGATGCTGGAGAACGCTGTGTGGAACTGGAAAGCGCTGGAGGAATTTCACAGCATCACCTCTGGCATCACGGTACAGAAGCAGCTCCTCATTGGTCATTGGTGCGATGATGTATTGGGCCCAAAGCCATGTTATCTTATCTTATTACAGAGTTTTATGAAGGCGCAAAACCAAAGAGTGATGTCCTTCTGTCAACAGCAAATCCTCAGGTCTGTGCTTCATATATGTTCTCTTCAACAATGACTTGATGCTATTACACATTTGGTTTCCCTTCTCATTTCTGACTCAAATTTATAGTTAGACCCCCATTTTCTTGGGTATTTCGCAATGGTTGTATTGCTTTGATGTTCTATAATTCTTTCAGTTGGAGGGCAGGTGCCAATACAGCACTAAAGGAAAGAAGCAATCTTTTCAAAAGACAATCATTATTCAAGATGAATGTGATTAGATACCTATTTTGTCTATGAAAGCCCTTTCTACTGGCATCATCAGGGCTTCTTGAATATTGTGTCTTCTTCCAGACACCTTTTTGTATGAGGATAACATTTGAAATTCCAGGGCCACTCCACACGGAATGAAAAATATTGCAGACAGCCTTTGTCTGTGAGCAAAACAACTCAGTTACAGGAGGATTTGGAAGAAATATTTCGTATAAACTAAATTAAATCAAAACACTTGGAAGTAAAGCATTAAATGGATCTTCTATGAATGGCCTAATATTACATTTGTGTTCTTAGGTTGAAGTCTGCAGAGATGGAGCAAGGAGACGGAAGCACTGTTAAAAAATAAAAATATTTGAGTTCAACGTGTTATTTTGGTGATTGTACATACTTTCTACAAATGCTGCCCAAACTATATTTGAAGCACAATTTTATGTATATTCAAGCCACTCGTCTACATCATTTGCTTCTAGGGACTGTGGGTTGCAAGATGACCGTAAGATGAAATGTTAGTAGAATTATCCACCTACTTCTAATATAAAAAAATTCAAGAATCAAGTCTGTTAATAAAGATGAAATGTGTGTGGGGTTTGAGATTCAGGTTTTTGCTTGTCCCAAAAGTTTAGCACCTTAATTATAGAACCATTTTAAGTCTTAAATAATTTTAGTTGGACTATGCAACTCTAGCCTGAAATGTATAGGTGGCATGTCCATTTTAAATTTACCTCTGTAGTAAGCCTCGTATTCCTTTTTATTTTATTTTTTGACTTTGAGAAACTGAAGGAACAGGTTGCCCAATTCTTTGCTGGCCCTTAAGTCCATCATCCACTGTGGGATTCTGTGATGCTTTGAAAGTTTTACACAATGGACTGTTGTGGAAGGATTCTTTTTGAGTCTGAATGTTTCCAGTGGAGGAAGTGTGAAAGGCCGTTCTCTAACCGCTCAGCTCTGCGTGTCATTTTATTTTTAGAAGCGGTCTTTTGCACTACACACAATAACACGTTCTTCCAAATAAAAGTTTGATGGTTTTAGACCAGTGTTGGGCAAAGCCTTGTGAAACCAAGCATTTGAGCACCTGAATAATATGATGCTTCAAACCAGTTTTAAAGCTTTTTCAACACTGACATCTTGTGGGAATATTGGTACTACAGCTATTCACTGGTTCAACAAACCACAGATCTTAATTATAATGGTATTACTGAAGCATTTGAATTTCAGGGGAAAAAATATCTGGCATACTATGATGTATGGGGGTGGAGACATCATGCACATTGTTGCAGAAGAGACCTGACCCTGTTCTGTTCCGCTTCAATGCAGCTATCATCTAACCCTAACACTATGCACTTATTTGGTCATGTGACTCAAGAGCATGTGACAACAATCAGTCATATATTCTTGAAGGTATCAAAGCACTTTTGTCATCACTAACTTAGCCGTTCTCTTCCTCCTAGTCCTTTCCTTGTCCTGTTATTACTTGTACCACACACAATATACGCTACCTGCTCGCTCCTTGCAAGAATAAATCTTAACGTGAGCAATGATGAAGTGTCCTCCTCTGTGCGTCCGCAGTCTGTTTGTGTGATTGACATTCTCATTAGCTTTGTGTCAATGGGGCTAACAGGGCGCTAAAGGCTAACCGACGCTGCAGGCTATACACACATACTAATTACCTGCAGGTGATTAGGAAATCCCTTGAGACTCATCTATGAGTGCACACACACCATGGTGAGTCAGACGAGCAAATTTATAATTCATACTGTTGTCTTTTAAAGAGATGAAAATTATATCCTCTTCAACAAGCTGCAAAAGGTTGTCTAAGTTGAGAAAAAAACTATGTAGGCCTATAAGAGAGGTGCATGGCTTGCTCAAACTATCACACGTCTTTTCATAATTCTGCAATGTTTCAATCTATGATATAAATGGACTGATGCGCTTATAAGCTTCAGTGATCTGTAGATGTGTCGCACTGTATTCCAACTAGCGTGTTAACACTGATGACACACAAGCAGCAATGATGTTATACAAAAAATCAAAGAAGTTCTGAAAATTGACCACCCGAATCACTGTTAAATTAACACTTCATTGAGTCCATTTATTTTCCCTTATTAACCTAAAGTAGGATAAATTAGCTCTAAGTGATATGGGTGAATGTGTAATAGAAAGTGTTGGCAATGCAAGTGATTACGCTTCTCTCTATTTGAATGGGACTGCACATGAACAGCAGATGGTGTAAATACACCAATTGTAGCCTTAGGCGGATTTTTTTATCCTTATCCCACAATAACACTTGCACACACACACACACACACACTGAACTATAGTACTTATTTTTGGCAGTAGGGGAAACCAGAGGAAGCCTATGCAGAGGTGAAAACATGCAAACTCAACACATAAAGGCCCTGGCCCAGAGAGGCTGATTTTCTGTAAGTTTAATGATATACAAAGGTGCAACAGCAGACTTCTTCCCCCATCTGAAGTCAAACTAACCACTTGACTTTGGCTGCGATGTCCTTTTTTAGAACTAAAATGAGAAACATTAAAATAAAATGTCTGTCTTTTTTAATGTATTTTTTATGCAAGGTGAAGAATTGAAAAGCTTACTTACTCGAGAGCCACTTCTGGGTTCGTGCTTGACCTCTCTTTTCTCTTTTATTTTACACCAGCTCTCTTCAGGACCTCCCAAAGATCACGGTTGGGAATGTTCAATAGCTTATTCACGTTTTAGTCACCCCATGGAGCAAACATGAATAAATAAAAAAATGCAGAGGATGTGATCATCATTTACCCTTGTTAATCCTTCGAGCAATATGTTTATTTCAGATCCACTGAACATAATAGCTCACAATTTGTAATGCATGTTTTAAAAGGAGGTTGGATTATGCTTATACACTTTCATTTTCCCTTTAGCTTTGTGCAATGAGATTAAACAGACAAAAATATTTGAGAAATATAATTGCTCAAAAATAATAGGAAAAAACAAAAGTATGATTAATATACATAAACACATACTCAGACAGGACTCAGGCCCATGTACTTTCTCAACACCCCTCCCTCGCTACTTGTCTGTGATGAAGGCATCATTGTCTTTTCTCCTCTCACTTCTTCTGTTCATATTTTTATAAGTGTGATCAGGTTTGAACATGTTTTATAAAATGTAGTCCAGTCAATAGTTTATTGGAATCAAAATCTGTGGTCTCCATCGGGAGAACCTGTTCATGCTGCATCCTCATTCTATGTGTCAGTGCCTCCATCTTGTGGTGTTCCTCAGCCCCTACAGGTGAGATATTACACAGTTCTTTCAGTGGCTAAAGGGTGTGCAAATTAATATGATGGACAGTCTGTCCTGTGTCTGATGTTTCCCTGGGTCAGCTCCACAGCACCTTCCTTCCTGAAAGAAGGAAGAAAGATAGAATAAGATGGATGGAGTAATTGCTGGGCCTGAAATGTAAAGCTGATCATAGCCTGGTCTTACCACACCATCAAGCATATTTCATTTCCTATATGTAGGGAAATAATAATTTACCAGAGTTTAGGGATGGCTAAGACCATGGTAGATCATTACAAAACAAATAAGCGGAAATATGTTGACATCCCAAAAAGGATCTGAGAGACTGAAATTCTTTATGAGAAAACTAAATCTATGGCTGATATGTACATGTGCATGATGAGGGTTTTGATCCAGAACGAGAAAAAGACAAAATAAAGTCTGCTCCAAAAAGGTAAATGATTTGATTTATGAGCCGAAATTTGTTTTTCATCCACTCACTGATCTGTCCATGGCTCGGTAGGTAAAATGTACAAGTAAAAAAATACAGATTGTCAGTGACATTGCATGTGGAGACACAATGCTGGGAGAAGTATTGTAACATGAGCACTATCCGCTTCTCTCTCCTGCTTTATATGTCATCATTATGACTTCAGCTGTTGCACAGTCTTTGCTATCATCTGCTGTCCTATTGTCTGTTTCATAAGGTTATTAAACAATACAATTTATTCTTGTATTGTCCGTACAAATGTCGCTGATAATAATTCACCAGTAACATAGTCACTAGTCACATTACCTGTTATAATTATAACATCTGATACTTCTCCCATTCACTAGTCACTAACTGTAGATGTTATTACTGATGTTTATTCTGCTGATATTCTCCGCTGCTAAAGTACAGTACAATATACACATCTGTAACTACTTTTTAGTTTATTTTCTTTTATTCTATTTTCACCATCTCATTATCTGTCATAATCAGTTTAATTATGTTGTCTATTATCTTAAATAGTAGACTATTTGATGTGTGCAATCTGCAATTTCAAAACCGTTAATCACCAACACAGATCAGAGAATCAACAGTTAAGCCAAAAATATATATATAAGCGATTGAAAGTTCTGGTCAATAATATACTAGAGCACAAACTTGTTAGAAGACTTATTCAACCTCTTTTTTTAATAACACCTTGGTTTGAGACAACCTTTATACATGTATTTAACGGTTCTTTCTCCCCGTTGCCTCGATTTCTACAATCATAGCGGTAAAAGAAATGCAAAACAAAATCATTTGGTCTGGTCAGGTTCTTTTCAATTAGTGCAGAGATGTATTTTTGCTGCAGCAAGTAAGGGAAAAAAAAATAGTGACAGAAATAAATACCGTGACTGACTACTAGAGGCATCAGGGAAACAACAGTATCCTCCTAGTCCGACTTCCACTTACAGTGTGGCTCTGACGTAGCCTGGTGAGACCAGAATGATTCCCCTCTGTATTTTTTTATCCAGCGGTTTTTTTTTACCAGACTCACCGGCTGGTACAGCGGTGAGTCTGGATTTTTCCAGGCTAGCTCTGACGGCCCTCTCTTATTGACCCCGTGCATATGACGTCCCAGCCACGCCTACTCTCCATGACAGACGGCGGAAGTCTTAAATTACTCAACAGCGAGCCTTCGGAAACTTGACCAAAACAACTATTTACCGAATAGCAGCCAAAACTGTGATATTGTGCAGTGCGGTTGGTTGTAGTAACAGGCGAGGACATAAGCCAAATGTGTCTTTTTATCTGGTACCTGCTCGTCATGAAGACAGAAGACGACGATGGCGGCATTCAACCAAAAGGACTGGGAGCCATCCAAGTACTCCTGACTTTGCAGTGAACACTTTTTACTAGATAAATCGATTACATTTTTTAAATTTATTTTCTTTCCAATAATTTATTTGGAGGACAATGACACAACAAACGCTTGAGATCAAACGTGTGCTCTTACTACTGTCTTGTATGTGCCCTGTAACATGAAATTTCCCCACTGAGGCACGAATAAAGGATCTCTTATCTTAGACGTCAGTCGCGTTTTTCACTATTTTCCTCTCCGTCAATATGTATCATGTTTGGCTGTAGACAGAAAAGTGGACTATTGGTAATGAGCTAATGCTACCAGCAAAATGTACATCTAAATCTGCCCCAGTGTGAGGGGATGCATAGTTAACAAAATAATGGTAAAGATCATGTAGGGTGAATTTGGGCAAAGTTGGACATTTCATTTAATCGATAAAATTGACCAGGGGGAGAAGGTATGTGTCAACATCCAGTTCGGCGATCCTTAACTTCTCCAAATACCGCTCTTTGTGACCCCAGAGATGTCCTACTTTTAACGATAACGTTATCGAACATGTGCTTGAAGCAGCCACTTCTCGATTTAGGAAAAGAGTCTCAGTTTTAAAGACTTGGGCCCAGTCCCAATACTCGCACTTCCACCCTCGCTCCCCTCATTTGCGCGTTCCCGATGATGGGTGCGAGTGCGTAGGGTGTCCCAACTCTCCAGGGAAGTCTTTAGCCCCGCCCCCTTTGCGCCCCTGATCCACATTTCGCCGTAACGTCGGGAAAATGCATTTAAGTGTAAGTTTTGAAATATTTATGCTGCATGTGTGTAAATAAGTTTTGCTGTTACTTGGAAAGAAGCATAAATGTCTGATGAAGGATTACGGACATTGTATTTTAACAATTTAAGTGTTCATATAACATTCAATCTAAACTTTACACTTACAATAATCTTAGGATGTATATAAACTTACCAGATAACAGTTAGTTACCCACATTTAACTTGAAATTATACAGCTATCTCAAATTACAAATAACCAATATAGAGATTTCTCACGTGACGTCACGATGCCCCGAACTCGCGGGGCATCCGCCATGTTGGAGGACAAACAAACACTGTGGGAATGGCGTGCACCTGTCACTCCGCGTAAACATGGTGAATTTTTGTGCTGTTTTTGGCTGCAGCAACAGGGGAGAAAGGGACAATAAGTCGTTTTATCGACTGCCAGCTGTCCTTACTTCCCAGGGTTCCAAAACAGAAGAATTATCAAAGAAACGACGAGAGAAATGGCTGGCCAACATCTCCCGAGTGATTAAAACAAGCAGCCTCAAGAACGTCCGAATATGCTCTGATCATTTCATTTCTGGTAAGTAAAAATCATTTGGTGGTTCCTTAAATGTTATTCAGAAACAATCAGAATTTTAAGGATGATATGGACTTATCACTGTCTTGACTGCAATGACACCACTTAAAACGTCCGCCAACCGCGTTTTAGTTTTTATCTGAGTTCAGCTTGTCAAAGCACATTTATTTTGGTCTTCAAACCTTATAAGCTGTATATCATTTTAAAGCTTCTTTTCTCATCTGTTAATATACAAGTGCAGGGAATGCCAAACTTTACACTACAAAGATATGAAGCATAAAATGGGCACAAAAACAAAGCATTCGGATCGCATTTCTTACCTTTGGAATTGTGCTGTGTCTAATATTGTAATATTGTAATCCGTGATATCTGTGGCTCATTAATTCCATAAATGTACATGGAAAAGCAATCTCCACTTGTGATTTCTTAAATATAGAGTGTGGGTTTGTCCTTAACCAAAAAAAACGTCTTCAAACACATAACACACAAGTGGCTCCTTCCCACTTTGCTGAGACTACAATGAATTTGGCCCTAAACAAATCCGATGCTCATGTTCTTCTTCTTCTTAGCTAAACAACGAGACCTTGGCTGAGGTGATCTGTGCTTTATTTATTTATCTCTTATAACAGCCGCGTTTGTAAAAAAGTCCTGCCTCAGAGCTGATTTAGCGATAGCATCCTTTGGGATTATGTGTATCCTATCTTGCGATGACGTTTTTTTGCCAAGTGATTGATAGGTCCAAACAGGTGGGGCTTTGTGTTTGAACCCTGGCTTTTTTAATGAAACATACGTGATGATAAGCATTTGTTAATCAGATTATCATGCGATGTTAACTGGAGGGAAATATATACATAAGGGCACCCTCAGAGCTCAGGTTTAGGACTCGGACAGCAGGGTGAGATGATCTTATCAGCATTTATAGCAACAGGAAAATAGATGTTTGAATAGAACTTTTGAATTTCCTTGGTCTTTCTTCCTGGTAAAATTTGGATAATGCAACAGTAACGAGGCAACATGTAATTACACTATAATAGAAATATAAACTGTAACTAAATCCATATTGTTTTTTCTCTGTAAAACACACACTTTTCATTCGATGTATTAGACATTTGAATGCACATAAATTATAATCAATTCATTTTCCCTTCATTATCTTTGCAGGAAAGCCGGCAGCCATGTATGACTATACACACCCAGATTGGGCCCCAACTTTAAATCTTGGTCATAAAAAGGTGGACACAGGTGCTACAGCCCGTGGCTCGGGGAGATATCGGAGATCGGTACAAAGACTGGAAAGGAGGAGAGACAGAGAAGCAGCCACAGCCCTGCTTCAACCTGAAGAACATGAACGCGATGACAAAACCGTGGGGGAAACGCTGCATGTAACCACTGAGGAGGAGGTTGAGAAGACAGTTGAGGAAGAGGTTGAAGAGGAAAAGGCTAGTCAGACTGACTTGTCATCAAGAACAGTAACTGCCATGGAAGCTGAGATTCAGCGACTGTTAATTGAAAATAGAAGTCTCAAAGAAAAACTACAGTGTGTGCAAATCAAGTTTGACAGAGAGTTTTTTAAAGACGATGATGAAAAAGTTAAATATTACACTGGCTTGCCTGATTTCACCACACTTGATGTTGTGTTTGTCTATTTGGAACCCCACATTCCTCACAGTGTTGGAAGTGTTCTTTCTAAGTTTCAGCACCTAGTTCTCACTTTGATCAAGTTGAGGCTTAATCTGAGTCACATTGATAATGGTCAAAGATTTGGGATAAACAAGTCATCTGCATCAAGGTTATTTCTACTTATGATTGGTGTGATGTACACACGTCTCAAGCCGCTGATATACTGGCCAGAGCGAGAGCAGTTACGGGAGACAATGCCCATGGCATTCAGGCAGCACTTTGGGACCAGTGTTGTAGTCATTGTTGATTGTTTTGAGGTTTTCTTGGAGAGACCTTCAAATTTGTTAGCTCGCACTATGACATGGTCATCATACAAGCACCACAACACAGTAAAATTCCTAATTGGAATTGCACCTCAAGGCCTGATTTCCTTTATTTCAAAGGGGTGGGGTGGACGAGCAAGTGATAAACATATCATGGAACAATGTGGTATCTTAAACAAGTTGCTCCCAGGTGATGCTGTGCTTGCAGATAGAGGGTTTGATGTAGCTGATAGTGTTGGAATGATGGGAGCAGAACTGAAAATCCCTGCCTTTAAAAAGCGGAAAGATCAACTCAGTGGTGAGGAGGTTGAAAAAACTCGGCAGATTGCAAATGTGAGAATACATGTTGAACGGGTCATCGGCTCTCTTCGTCAAAAGTACACAATTCTTCAAAGTACTTTGCCAATGGATTATGTGATGGCTAATGACACAAATGTGACCACTTTGGATAAGATCTGTACTGCATGTTGTGGTTTGACTAACATGTGTCCATCGGTTGTTTCATTTGAGTGATTTATTGCAAAGTTATGAGATATCTGTGGGCAGTCTAATACTACCATTGTTCATGTATTTTTGTGTTATTTAAGTGAAATTACTTTCTCCCTAAATGGGAAATGCTTGCATACAAAATGTCAAAATATTAGTTACACTTTTATTCAGTAGTGATTATTCAATATTTGTGCTGTGTAGAAATGTTGCATTATTGAATACAAATATTTCTATATATTCTATATAGTTCAAACTTAATGGACGTGTTCATGTTATTACAGCCAAGCTTTGCACTTTCACTGCATGTAATTAATAGAATAATCCTATGAATTAAATCGAATTCAAGGAATATGTGTATTATTATTTGTTAAGGAAGAATGAGGACCTAGGCAGAGTTGCTCTCAAAACTTGTATTACATTTAGGCCAGGTGTAAATGGCCTCGCTAGTTACCAAACTAGCTATCCAAGCAGCTAAACATAGATGCAGAAAACTCTTCAGGAGAACTTTAATGATCCAATCTTCTACTAACACAAAAAGGGTATTACCATAAACGGCCAGAAGAGGGCGGATTAGAAAGAATGAACATACAAAAAACTAAACATAACACTCCCCGTCTGGGATTAACCCACATTCAAATACTGTAATTAGATGCTAGACTGCTCGGGGGACAGGAGCAAAACCACCTCTGTTACGGGGCGAGAAAAGGTCTTTTTTGTTCCTTCGCGAGAAGTGGTTACTTCTATTTTCCTGACAAGTCCATCTTTTCCCGGAAAAGTTTTGGTGATGATTGACATTGGCCACTCATTCCTCTTCAATTGAGAGTCCTTGAGTAGAACAATATCTCCTTCTTTGAGATTTTGTTTCCTGTCCTGCCATTTGTGGCGCAACTGCAGTGTGTGAAGATACTCTCGTCTCCATTTAGACCAGAACGCTTCGGCAAGACTTTGGACTCTTTTCCATTGTTCTTTTAGATGTATCCCATTTTCAAAGTTGCCAGGAGGGGGTGCTGCTGATCCTGTTTTCATTGTGAGCAGCATCGACGGTGTGAGGATAAGTGGCGAATCAGGGTCAGTGGACACGGGCACTAGAGGGCGAGCGTTCATGATAGCAGACACTTCAGCCACAAATGTTGATAACAGTTCATGTGTTAAGAGTGCTTTTTTATTGTCCTGGAACATGGAGTCGAGGATGCGCCTGGATATCCCAATCATCCGTTCCCAGGCCCCACCCATATGGGAAGCGTGTGGTGGGTTGAAGACCCATGAACAGTTTTGTTCACTCAGGAAAGGTTCAAGATCTTTGACAGAGAGATCTGGCTTGTTCATTTTCAGTTCTCGAGCTGCGCCGACAAAGTTTGTGCCGCAATCAGATCTTATTTGTTTTGCGGGGCCTCTAATGGCAAAAAGTCGCCTCAGATCATTGATAAAACTGTCCGTGCTCATTGCTTCAATTAACTCGATATGAACTGCTCTTGTTGACATGCATGAGAACATTACAGCCCACCTTTTGGAGTTAGCTTGACCTCCTCTTGTTCAACGGGTAGTCACATCCCATGGCCCGAACACGTCGACGCCCACAAAGGTGAAGGGGGGTGCAACTTGTAGGCGTTCAGAAGGTAAGTTTCCCATTTGTTGACACTCGGTTTTTCCTCGTAATCTCCTGCAGGTGACACACTGGTAGAGTATCTTGCTGATGCTTCGTTTGGCTCCTACCAACCAAAGGCCTGCTACTCTAATAGCATCTTCTGTGAAATGTCTCCCCTGGTGTTTCACAGTCTCATGGAAGTGACGAATTAGGAGCGTCCCTAAGTGGTGACGGGCAGGGATGATGAGAGGGTGAGTAGTTTCGATGTCTAGTCCAGACAGTGAGATACGACCCCCAACCATCATTGTCCAAAGTTGGATGCAGCTTTCTTAGGCTGCTCGAGAGGGAAATTGTTCTTTCCTCCTGAATACATTTGATTTCTTCGTTGTAGTACTCTCTCTGAACACTCTTTACAGTGCATATCTTTGCCTTTGCCCGTTCTTCTTCCGTTGGTCGACAAGAGTGCCAGCCGCGACAACTGTGGTCACGGGCAGAGTGATTGAAAGAACGAGGGATGTGGATCAGAGAAGCTACGGCTCTAGCGATAGTGCTGTAGTTAGAGAATTTATCCCAATGCATTGTATTTATTGTTGTCTTTGTAACATGTGTTAAGCTTGTTGCCACAAGAGGACGTATCTCTGTATCTAGCGGTGGATCGATGAGCTCATATTTCTCTGGAGATGGATTCTGCACTGAAGGTTTGAGAAGAAATGTTGGTCCTCCTAACCACGTCGTGCTGCTCAGTTGTGCTACTGTGGTTGAACGGGACCCGCAGTCTGCTGGGTTGAGTTCAGATGGTACGTACTTCCACTGCTTGGAGCTTGTTGACTGTAAGATACGTTGGACTCTATTATGGACGTACACATAGAACCTACGGGACTGGTTGTATATGTACCCGAGCACAACTTTGCTGTCGGTGTAAAACTCCATGCTATCAAAGGTAATGTCCATTTCTGCTGCTATCAATTCTGCTACTTCAACTGCAAGCACAGAGGCACACAGTTCTAGTCTTGGAATTGTGAGGCCTGCTTGAGGAGCTAACTTTGTTTTTCCAAACACAAAGCCGACTTCTGCATGATCTGGTGTGGATAGTTTCATGTAGGCAACAGCAGCGATAGCCTTTACAGATGCATCGGCAAACACGTAAAGGTCCCTCTTCTGAGCATTAGAAGTGGAGAGGGAGGTATAAGGACGTGGTATTTGGATACTTTGCAAGTCTTGCAGAGAGTCCTTCCATTTACACCATTCTGCCTTTGCGTCATTTGGAAGAGGTGCATCCCAATCGTTTGATGAGCTGGTGAGTTCTCGGAGTAGAAATCTGCCTTGAATTGTGATAGGTGCAAGGAATCCGAGGGGGTCATAAAGACTGTCGAAAGGACTCCCCTACGTGTGAATGGTTTTGGTCATCATCAACTTTGAATGTGAAAGTGTCCATTCCAACATTCCACAGTAGCCCTAAACTGCGTTGGACTGGCAAGTCTTGAGCGCACAAGTCTAAGTTCTCAATATCTTTAGCTCTGTCCTCTGGAGGAAAGGCTTCCAGAACCGAAGATCTGTTTGAAGTGATCTTGTGTAGCCTGAGGTTTGAGGAAGCGAGAGCCTGCTGTGCTTGCTTCAGAATGTGAATAGCTTCTCCTTCCGTAGGAAATGACTTCAAAGCATCGTCAACATAAAAGTCTCGCTCAATAAATGTGCGCACATCGCTTCCAAAGTTTGTTTCACCGCTAGCTGCAGCTTTCTTTAGACCGTACATGGCGACAGAGGGGGATGGGCTGTTCCCGAAAATGTGTACATGCATGCGATACTCGATTATATTTGACGACATGTTATTATCTTTGTACCATAAAAAGCGGAGGAAATCTCTGTGATTCGCTTTCACAACAAAACAGTGGAACATGTGTTCAATGTCTGCGGTTATGGCTACTTGCTCTTTGCGAAACCTCATGAGTACTCCCACCAGGGCGTTGTTGAGGTCTGGACCGGTGAGTAACACATCATTGAGAGATACCCCTTCGTATGAGGCGCTAGAATCGAATACGACTCGGATTTTCTTGGGTTTTTTAGGATGATAGACTCCGAACAGAGGAAGGTACCAGCACTCCTGATTCCGATCCAGAGATGGCGCAACTTCAGCTTGCCCTCGAGTAAGCATGTTCTCCATGAACTCGAGAAAGTGTTCTTTCATTTCAGGTCGTTTCTCTAGAGTGCGTCTGAGAGACATGAGTCGATCGTAAGCCAGTTGCTTGTTGTTTGGCAGCCGTTGACGCGGCGATCTGAAGGGTAGAGGTCCTACCCAGCTGTTGTCGCTGTCTTGGTAGAACTCAGCGTTCATAATTTGGAGAAACTGCATGTCCTCGACTAATGATGCT